CTCTAGCAATCGCCCCAGAAAGGAGTCTCCTGGTGCCAGTCTGCCTGGCCCCTGCCCCTCCTCCCTGGAGGATGCTGTCACGTTCTGCTCGTGCTGTCACCCCCACCAGCAGACGTCATCACCACCGGCTCTCGAGCCGCCAGTACACAGAGCCAAGAAATAACATGCTCTGTGCCGTGTCCCATCCACACAGCAGCCCCAGCCAGGCCCCCGCCAGCCCACGCTCCTGCGCATCGGGCTCCTACAGCAGAAATCTTCCTGCCAACGAGGGCGCGAGGCTCTCCCACCTCCACTGCTCCAAGGGTTTGGAGCTGGCAGCATTAACAGACCCTTTCCGCTTGCAGCCTTCAGCACAGCAGGGCCTCATGTCAGAGCAAACCAGGCACCAGAAGCTGGAACAATCTGTGCTCACCTGCTGAGTCCCAAGTGGAATCAAGACCAAGAAGCGGTTTTGTTTTGTTTTGTTTTTTTAACCAAACAGTATCCTCAAACCAATTTTTCTCCCAACCAGACCTGAATCTAAATGTTTTCTAAAATTAATGACTCAGAACCAGGTAGTCATCAGGATAAAATGAATACATGTTCAACACCCACAATGTACCAGGCACCTTCGTGCTCATTTTCTTACTTCATCCACCCAATGCCTGCAAGAGAGACCTTATTAGCCCCATTTTACAGAAAACTGAGGATCAGGGAGGTAAGAGACTTGCCTAGGCTACACAGGTTGTGAACGGCCAATTCAAGATTCAAATCGCTGGGTGCCTGATTTTGGGCATGGATGGCAGTTAGTTTGTTAACCTGCAGGATCCCAGGCCCCAGGGGCTTACCCACCGCCCCCCCACCCTCTCTCAACCCAAGCCTCTGTGTCCTTTCAGTTCCCAAAAGCCTGACACCAGCAGAAGCTTCTCCCCCAGCTGAACGAAACAGGGGCTTGAGGATTCAGTTTGCTCTAACACATAGTTTTATGCCTTAGATCAAGATTTGAGAAATGGCAGAGTCCTGTACCTCCTGGTTACCCAACTGAGAAAATCAGGCTGATTGACACATAGTTCTTTCAAAAACTAGTCAGAAAGAGAAAAACAAATACTGTATGCTAACACATATATATAGAATCTAAAAAAAAAAAAAAAGTTTTTGAAGAACCTAAGGGCCGGACAGGACTAAAGACACAGATGTAGAGAATGGACTTCAGGACACGGGGAGGGGGAAGGGTAAGCTGGGACGAAGTGAGAGAGTGGCATGGACATATATACACTACCAAATGTAAAATAGATAGCTAGTGGGAAGCAGCCATATAGCACAGGGAGATCAGCTCAGTGCTTTGTGACCACCTAGAGGGGTGGGATAGGGAGGGTGGGAGGGAGACGCAAGAGGGAGGGCATATGGGGATGTATGTATACGTATAGCTGATACACTGTTATACAGCAGAAACTAACACACCACTGTAGAGCAATTATATTCCAATAAAGGTGTTAAAAAAAAACACAACAACTAGAA